ACAGCTTGAGACAACGGTTTCAGTTCTTGAAAGAAGTGGAGCCCTCGGCAGCTTTTAAGTGAGGCAGGTGCACATTCTTAATTTCTGCAACAGTACGATACTATGCATGTCTATTGCGAGGACTCATTAAATTTAATGGAATTTATTGCCAAGTAAGAAGGACAGAAGTTCTAACTTTTCTTGATCATCCCCTCCCCAAACCACCTTTGTCCAATATCTACATATAGAATGGAAATTTCAACATTTGCCCGGAAAAAAGGTGGAAAGTATGCTACACTTTCCTGTTTCTTTTGCAGTTTACAGTCAAGAGGAATGCCAAAGACATAGTGCCTAAAGGCAGCATGAAAACTGGGAAGAGGCACAGTGCCAGGTCTAACACTTGAGCAGAACTTAGGCAACAGACACCATTATGTATATAATGCCTATACTTTCCAAAGTATATGAAGTACTGCCTCCTGATGAATTAACACACATATGGAATTCTATTTTCATATATGAATAGAGCAAAGATCCTTTTTCAAAGGACAAAAGTCACATTGAAAAAATGCAAAGGCCACCCATCCTTGTGTTGCTGATGAGACCTCCTTTTCCATGAAAAGAGCTTTCCCTTCCAACCTAAGGTTTCCTCTTCCCAAAGAAACTATCTAGAAAGCTTTATATTTATCATTTTCTAGGGATTATCAGGTCAAGAAACATACAACTAGAAATGTGAAACACATAAAAGGAGAGGACAATAATGAAAATAATGCATGCAATTTCAAAGTGGAAATAAACAGAACCCAACTTAGACAAAATGTTCTGAGACCTCAAAACCTCAAGGCATGTCCAATTGCACTGACTTCTTCGTCTTGTTGTTGTTGTTGTTGTTGTTGTAACAAGTTCCACCATATCTACTGTTACTATTAACTTAAGGTCCTATCTATACTGCCAGATAAAATCTAAATTTTATTTAGATTTTATCTAAATAAAATTTGAACTGGATTATATGTCAGTGTAGACTAATAAAATCCAGTTCAAATGAGATAATCTGAATTTTATCTGGCAGTGTAGATGGGGCGTTAGTGAATCTATCACGAGGGTTTCTTTGCAAGATTTCTTCAAAAAGAAGAAATCCTTCACCCAATATCTTTGTCCAATATCCACTGCCTTCATCTGAGAGAGTGTAGAATTCTGTATGAAGGTCTAATGGAAGAATTTTGATTAATGGCCAAATAAGCTCAGTCTTAGACAAGGAATCAATTCAGACCTAGATGTTTCACCATCCTGTGGGAAGCTTCTCTCATGTCTCCACATGAGAAACTGGAGCTGACAGACGGGTGCTCACCCTGCTCCCTGGATTTGAACCCTTACAAACCAGATGAGTATCACCCTATGGTTTTTGATGGTAGATCTTGGACAATCAGTTCTATTTGCATCTGGAATGAACATCCCAAAATTCAGAATTATTTCTGAAGTTTTGACCTTTGGAAACTCACTGCTTTAGCCTCAGGTCTATACATTTTCTTATTAACAGCTGATACCTCTCTTAGGCAATACCAGATAAGATTGGTTTTATCTTTATGCCAAGTTTTCAAATTTGACCTATGGAAATTCACTGGGTTCTCAGAAAAAAAAAACTACACTCATGCCAGCTGGCCTGGAGTCTCAAATGACTATTTTAAACCAGTGGTTCTCAACCTGGGGTCCCCAGGTGTTTTGGCCTACAACTCCCAGAAATCCCAGCCAGTTTACCAGCTGTTAGGATTTGAAGGCCAGAGTTGAAGGCCAAAACATCTGGGGACCCACAGGTTGAGAACCACTGACCTGAACTATATTCTTTCAGTGATTGCAAATTAATTGTTTAGATGATTTAGTTTTTAAAAATCTCAGAAACATCATCTACTGACCAGTACAGATAAATTTGCAGTTTCCCCAAAACCACGTATTCTAACACGTAGTTTTACGAGAAACTGTTTTTAGGGAGTCAAGAAGCAGGTTGAAAATGTGTTTTGAATGTAAGTTCCTGTCCACAGTCATAAGAAAAAAGAGCTTTTTCACAGGTTTGATAGTGGCCTTAGGTAAAGGTAAAGGCTTTCCCCTGACATTGAGTCCTGATTCTGGGGGGTGGTGCTCATCTCCATTTCTAAGCTGCAGAACTGGTGTTGTCTGTAGACACAAAGGGGGCGGCATGACTGTATGGAGTGGTGTTACCTTCCTGGTGGAACGGTATCTATTAATCTACTCATATTTGCATGTTTTCAAACTGCTAGGTTGGCAGAAGCTGGAGCTAACATTGTGACTCACCCCACTTCCCAGATTCAAATCTGCAACCTTTCAGTCAGCAAGTTCAGTAGCTCAGCGGTTAAACCCACTGTATCATTGGGGGCTCCTCCTTGACCTTACATATGCAAAAAATAAGCTCTCAGATACCTTGTTTATTTAATCACAAGCTGGAATCTCTTTGAGTCAACAAGCCTAAAACATCTCTAAAGAAAGAGAAACCCAACCCTGAGTCTGACTCCCAATTTTTCTCCAGGCGCAGCTGGTGGGGGATGAAGGGAAATAACATCTGGGAAGGTACTCTTCTCCTAAGTCAGTGGTTCTCAACCTGTGGGTCTCCAGGTGTTTTGGCCTACAACTCCCAGAAATCCTAGCCAGCTGTTAGGATTTATAGGAGTTGAAGGCCAAAACATCTGGGGACCCATGTACTTAGAACCACTGCCCTAAGTACATGGGAACCCATAAGGCGACAGTCAACTTGAGGGTACATACATGCACTCAAAGGAATTAAGGGTGGCTATAGCACACAGAAAAAAGTACCGGTATGTGTAACCCAGTCCTATGTATTCATAGAACTCCTCTTGATTGACTCCCAGTTTAAGTATGCACATGATTATAACCTTAACAATCTCTAATTATGCTATAAGTAAATGTGAATTGCTCTAAATCAGAGGTTGATCTGGGGGAGGAAAAAGACAGGAAGTTTGCCAACCATTCTGATTTCATACAACTGCTGTTCTTCTATAGTTGCTTTTTCAAAAGGGCCATGGCCTAAAGTACTAAAAATAACTAAATGAATGCCAATTACTTGCCATCTCTCTCAGCGGTTCTTCTTCCGCTTCTTTTAAGTGTTGCCTGCAGCGTATTTCTCGATAATACATGAAGGCCAATTTTTCCCCGCTTGACATAAAATAGATGATTACGTTTTGCGGGATTACTTGCTCACTGACCATTAACCGAAACAAAAGCTCTTTCAAAACATTCTTTCTGCCGCTCTATCACAATTCAAGAGTTTAGTAATCCGCAACTACAACATCTAGAAATACAGGTTATAAGTTCAGTTTAATTTATACGAGTGTTCACTGAATTCAGTGAATTGGAGGCAGGGAGTGTAAATTCAGCAATTCGAGCGAACTGTGTCAGTTCTAGACTTACAAAGAGAGCTCATGACTGTATATTGTGATTTATTCTCTTTTCAGTGGAAGTGGGACAACAAACATGTAATGGGACTTCTTCGGAGTAGGGCATGGAACTGTCCCTCCTCAAAGCACAAACCGTATTCATCCACAAATCAAAACCTGGGCACCATCTAACACCTGAGGAAACTTATTCAGAAACAGGTGTCCTTTCAGATGTCCTGGACCCACATTATGTAGAACAGTGGTTCTCAACCTGTGGGTCCCCAGGTGTTTTGGCCTACAACTCTCAGAAATCCCAGCCAATTTACCAGCTGTTAGGATTTCTGGGAGTTGAAGGCCAAAACATCTGGGGACTCAGATGTTTTGGGGACCCACAGGTTGAGAACCACTGTTGCAGAGAAAGAGTGGGTTGACCTCTTGCTTTTGTGAACCACCTACCTACATATAAATTTTAACTGGAATACAAGATCATCCAACCAGACCCAAGGGAACAGCTATTATTTAATAACTGGGAATAAGATTGTCAGTAGTATGGCTTTATTGGGGTGAAATATAGCTTATGATTTTAAACTGTGTGTGTCCGGTGCAGGACGTAATGCCATGTAATGCTATGCAAGGTTTAAAGGCATAGATGTGATTCAATTCCTATAGAGTGAACTGTGACCATTTCCTGTATACGTCACACATTCCAATAATGTGGATTTGAGATAACAGACTACTGGGCGTTCTCTTCTAGCCATGCCAGAGAAGGAGCAAGACACGTGTGTGATTTCTCCTGTACAATGTTATGTTTGTTATTTTTGCAGCTTTTAGAATGTAACTAAATAAACGTACCACTTCAAGGATTTGAAGTTGACAAAGGACTGTGCACTTCGTTTTCTCTGCGTGCCTCATTGCAGTTGCTCTGAGGCCTAATTTTTATTGACACAGATGCCCTTGACGTCCAACCCCAAATTATCCAGAAGGCTGCTACTAGATCTAGACATGGATTCTGTAAGCAATTAAGGTTCAACTGAATCTAAAAACAAAATTGGTAGCTAATATACCTCTTTTCACAAGGGCTGGGCTTTAGCATAGTAGGTTAAGCTGCTGTAAATCTTGCCAATCGAAAGGTTGGCAGTTTAAAGCCCGGGTCAGTGTGAGCTCCTGGCCTTTAGCCCAGCTTCTGCCTACCTAGCCTAACTAGCAGTTTGAAAACAAATGTGAGAAGATAAATAGGCTGAGAAAGGTGTCATACAAATGCGGTAAATAAATAATTATAAATAATACTGCTTTAAAGCAGGGAGGTATTTAAGGCACCCATAAGGATATGCCAGAAAAATGCTGGTGATTCGATCAAGGAGGAAGTTTACAAGCAAAGCTCTTCAGCAGGGAAGATGGAGCGGTAGCATCCCTCCATGGCCGGAACCAAGCACAGCCTCCAAGATGCCGAAGATGGGAAATCCTACATATACTTCTGTCTATTTACAGTTGTCTGCCTTGTAAGTGTATAATGGCACTGAATGTTTGCTGTTCTGTCCTCCCTCTGGTACCTGCAATAAACCACAAGCAGATTACAACTACAAGCAAGCAAACATACATACAAAAAACTTGTTTCTGTACCTGGATTGTTTCTTTGGAGGTGGAGGAGGGGGAGAGAATTCATTTCCATTCTTCTCTTTAGGGAATTCAAAAGCAAAAGATGCCGATTTGCTCATTCCTCTGGGTTTATTCTCTTGGACAGAGCACTTCCCCCCTTGATGGCAATCAGAAGTACTTGAAGGGCTAATGGCTCCATTCTCCATTTCTACCTTTTGAGCAGTTTTCAGGAGTCCTTGCTCTTCCTCCTCTTCCTCTTCTATCCTACACTGCTTACTCCAGGCCAGATTGTAGTACTTCTGTCTCCTCTCAGCGCTGGAGGGTGCTGGACCTTTGCCAGCCTCATCTGGAAAGCTTCTGTTCACATGAGAACACTGTGAGGATGAAGGCCCAAAGACGGGGCTGTTCCCACCATGCCTTGGAGTGTCAAGATCCTCATGGTCTTTACCGTCAGGGATTTCTGCAGTGGAACTGACTGAAGGGAGGAGAGACCCTTCACCCCAAGGTAAGCTCCCTTTGGACAGCTTTGGGGGAATAGCAGGAGTGTCGCCAACCACCTTTTTGCAAGTTATTTGGGAATGAAGATCCAAGCCATTTTCCCTGGAAGTCATCTCACTATTTGCTTGAGGGAACTCTCTGGGCTCAAAGAAAGGAGATGCTTTCTCACTCTCTGGATTAGAAATGGGGCTAACGCACGGCCATTGGACCCCAACTGCTGAGTCTGGGCTGCTAAGGAAGATCGTTCGATTGTCGTCTTCCCCATGGGCAGCCATAATGGTAATAGTTGCTGCTACTTGTGTAGTAGAATCTTGGAATTCCCTTCCACAGCTCAAATGTGGGGATTTTTCATGACTGGGACTATACGGAGAAGGACAAACGTTGGAATTGTTTAGCTGTATCTTTTTCCTTTTTGTACTCTCTGCATAGATAGGCTCATTCCGAGAGTCAATTTGAGAGGAAAGCTCTTGTTGTACAGAACTGTTTACATTTTCTATATGTTTGCCTTCAGTTTGTTCCTGTTCTCTGACCAAAGCAATGGAATGATTTCCCTGGGGTGAACTAAAGGGACTTCTGCTTTTTATTACAGTCTCGGGAGTGAATGTTGACATGTTGGTTTTGGAGCACAGGTGGTTATATATATAATCATGTGGATAATGCTTCTCCCCTTGAAAATCCGTATCGGAATTCAAGGGTCGGGTTCCCCTTTCATTGAAACCCATGCCTGTTGGCTCGATTCTTCCATTCACTGCAGCTTCCTGCCTCTGAAATGTGGAAGCGGGGTTTTCATTTCCAAGCCATGGTACTTTAGTTTTAGTATTGTCCAAGCCTTGGTGGGTGGGAGGTTCAGCACAATAGTTTGTAATGGAGCAGTACTCTCCACCTTCACTTTCTAAGTCAGAGGAATGGGATAAATTGGTCTTCTCCAAAAGTGATCTCTCTGCTCTTTGGTGGAAGGGAGGGCATTGCTCAGAGTTCAAGGAGGAATTGATACACTGATCACTAAAAATGGGTGATTTGTGACAGAGACCCAAATATGGCAAGGTCAACTTTTCACTGCTGGGCTTCTCAACACCATCCTCATGTGTACCTGCATCACTTGGAAACGTCATATTCCTGAAGGTGAGACACTTATCTCTTCTGCCTTCAAGACCAGACAAACTAATTAGCGAAGGAACCTGAGGACTGTGTGAATTACAGTCATTTGGAGCATTCTGAATTACAGGCTTCCTTAAGATGATTTGGCTGTACTTCTCAATGCACGCACTTTGTTCTTCTCCGGGTTTCATCAAGGCATGTTTTCTGAATGCTGTCCTCTTGGTAACCTGCATTGAGCAAAGATAAATGCATGTACATTAGTAGTGGGGAAAAATGTAACAGGCAAAAATGCTTAAGCTGCTACTCTCCTTTGATATCTTTTGATATGTTACCACAACTTTTTTTTTTAAGTGTGAAAATACTCTTAACTAGAACTAACATTTTATGAGTCCATTATAACGAAGGGGATTTGATTGGATTATGACTGAATCAAAGACAAACACGCTTAAATCCTAGCAATGCCAATTAAAATCTTGTGACTTTAAAATGCTTACATTTGACTTGATGAAGCTCATTTAACAACACTGCCAACCAACGTATACTGCACACACCAAACCCTATCTCACTTTGAGGTGCTACGTATTAGGAACCCCCATGCTGCTGAACTGGTGACCTGAAGGTTTGCAGTTCGAAGCCACAGGTCAGGGTGAGCTCCCGCTGTTAGCCCTAGTTCCTGTCAACCTAGCAGTTCAAAAACATGCAAATGTGAATAGATCAATAGGTACCAATTCGATGAGAAGGTAATAAAGGTGCCCATGCAGACATGCTGGCCACTCAACCAAGGAGGGGTCTACTCCCCATGATCAGGGTTGAGCACTGCCCCCAGAAGATGGAGATGAAAGGGGAAGGCTTTACCTTTGCTTTGTGTATTTGTGTGTCATTGTTATCTCATTGTATTAAAGGCACTGAAGGTTTGCTTATCTGTGTATGTTGTAATCTGCTCTGAGTCCCCTCGGGGAAATAGAGCGGAATATAAATGAAGTATTATTATTATTATTATTATTATTATTATTATTATTATTATTTGAAACACAACAAGATGAGTCCACAGCAGACAAGATCACTCTGCTGGCTTGGATCACATGACGGACACTTCCCAAGTGTCTAGGACTGTGTGATGTATTGCTGAATAATGCGTGCAGATCCCAGTAAGGTGGCCTTCTGCAGCTGGCAGGTGGTAATTTTGTCAGTGCCAATTGCGTTTAAGTGCAGGCCAGGGTCTTTAGGCACTGCACCCAGTGTGCCAATCATCACTGGGACCACTTTTATTGGCTTGTGTCAGAGTCTTTGCAATTCGATCTTTAAATCCTATTATTATTATTATTATTATTATTATTATTATTATTATTAGTCTATTCAATGTTTTAGTCTTAGGTTCTGTACCAATAATTTTGCTTCATAAACTAGATATTCTAGGGTCCTTCATTTCTGTAAAAAATGCATTCTGTTCTATTAGATGCTGACTTGAACCAAATTCCACTCTAACTCAGCCAAAATCATAAGACTTTCCCATTGACCTGCTCCAAACTACCAAGCTTCACCCTTCTATACAGGTGAAATAAATCTTAAGTTGGCAAGCTTGTTTTGTTGTCTTCTTTGGTTTGATACAGTCCTGAGAACAAGCCATATACAGCTTTCCCACATTTCATAATCTATAATTTAGGTACAAACAGTGAGATGTAGGAATGAATGAGCTAGGAGTGTTTTTGTGCATTAGGCGGAATATGGGGGAAGCTAAGGTTATACAATTCAGTATTGTACTGTTTTTGTCCATATATATGTGCAAAAACCCGATGTAAAACAAAAACAAAACCTTCTGAATATTAGGGAGTGTTCCTTCTGGAGCTCTAGTTCATTACATGGAGGATTTTTTAAAAATGCACAAGCTGGAATCCACTAAGGCAGTTAGAAACATCTTCACAATCCTTGCATAGGGAGTGCTTCATATTCACTATCCCTGCATAACCTCTTGTTCAGGGGATATAGATATATGTAGAGACAATGAAAGTTCCCCAATCCCCATTTACCAGGCGGCAATAGTAGCAGCAGCAGCTACAACCTATGGGAATCTATTTCCTATTGATCAGAAAGCAGCTGACTGATAGATTTGTACACGGATCTGTTTTTAGCAGGTCCCTTCGGCCATTTGGCTTATCTGTTTTGTTCGGGTGCCCAATACGGCAAGGGCCCAGGCGTCATGGATTTCCATCCGAAAAGAGACCATGTTGCAGCCAATCACGGCTCCTCCTCCCCTATTCGGCATTACAGTTTAATCTTTTTGATTTTCCTTTATTTTCCTACAGAGTTGGGAACCTGAGAGACGGTGGGTGGGGTACATGTGTACATGCACTTTTGAGGGCTTGGAGATGGAGAGTCAACATTTTACTTTCTTTTTCTCCTTCCCTTCCTCTCCTTCAGAAAATATTTCACAAATGTAATAAATATTATCATTAATAATAATAATGCCAGCAAACAAAATGAGAAGCCTACTTCTCCTCTAGAATATAAAGTAGAAACAGCTTTAAGAAAGCAAAACCCCAAGCCGAAAGGAGACTGGAGACAGTAGAGAAAACAGAGGGGATTTTTAAGGTAGTCCAGGGAGGATAGCTCCACTGAGCTCTGGGTCATCGCTCTTCTTTCTCTGGGTCTCCTTAAAATGCCTTAGCTGCGTGGCATGCTGCTGTTGGGAATGGGAGAGAAAGTGCGTGCACCTGCCTCTCCTCTAGAGTAGAAACAGCTTTAAGAAGCATTAAACCTGGTTTCCTCTACAAACGGAAGGGAAAGGATCCAGAAGAGTGGTATCTTAACTCTGATGCTTTTTAAAAATCCAGATCTTAATGAAGGATATGGGAGTCTGTGGGAAGTCGTCCCCCACCCCCATCATGGGCTGCACGGGGTGCTTTCTTAACCTCGTTGCTGACACCCAGCCTCCCTTGAAGGGAAGAAAGGAAACACTCCCAGGGGAAAAGGGAGCCTTGTAAGTTTCCCATTGCTGCAATGGGCCAAAAAGAGCTGCTTTTTTTGGATATAGAACGAAAACACTCATTTGGCAGTGCACCCATTTTCAGGAGGTGCTTGAAAACAGATATGGGGGGCTTCTGGTATCGGGCAAGCAGAAATGGATAGCGATTTACCTGAAATGCACAAGCCTACTGACTGATGTTCCCACTCACCCCCTTGTGAGTGATTCAAAGTGCTGGTTTTGACCTATAAAGCCCTATACAGCTCCAGCCCAGCTTACTTGTCCGAATGTATCCCCCTCTATGTCCCACCTCAAAGTTTAAGATCTTCTGGGGAGGCCCTGCTTTCAGCCTCGCCTTTGGCGCAAACACTCTTGGCGGGGACGAGGGACAGGGCCCTCTCGGTGGTGGCCCCCCCCACCTGTGGAACTCACTCCCCAGTGAAATCAGGTCAACAGAATTCCTCCTTGCCTTCAGGAGGAAACTGAAAATGCGGTTATGGGACCAGGCCTTTGGGTAGCCAGCAGATAATTTGGCAATGGTAATAATGAAAATGTTATAGAAAATGGACTATGGACAGGCTTCCAAATGTGTTGTGCTCGCTGAACTCGTTTCTACATCAGACTAGACAGCCAGTATTATTGCACTTTTTATTAATGTTCTTTTTATTTTAAAACTAATTTTAAAACTATTTTACTATGTTTTGTATGTAATTCCCTCTTCAGAGGTCGAGACAGGATAAGATATAAAAGCCCCAAATAAATAAATAAATAAATAATATGTAATGGTATCGAATTGTGCCGGGTGTAAGCCGCCCTGAGTCTCCCCCCCACCCCGCGGGTTGAGAAGGGCGGGGTACAAATGTTTGAAATAAATAATAAATAAATAAATTGTGCAGTCGATCTCTGGTAAAGGAGTATTGTGACAGGCACCATGCTTCTTGCAATCACATTGCAGATTGTTTATAGGAGGGATGGAGTGCATCAGTTAGCTCAGTGTTTCTCAACCTGGGGGCTGGGACCTCTGGGGGGGGTCGCGAGGGTGTATCAGGGGGGTCAACAAAGACCATCAGAAAACACAGTTTTTTTCTATTGGTCATGGGGGGTTCTGTGTAGGAAGTTTAGCCCAGTTCTCTCATTGTTGGAGTTCAGAATACTCTTTGATTGTAGGTGAACTATAAATCCTACCAAATACAACTCCCAAATGTCAAGGTCTATTTTCTCTAACCTCCCCCAGTATTCACATTTGGGCATGTTGAGTATTCGTGCCAAGTTTGGTCCAGATCCATCATTGTTTGAGTCCACAGTGCTCTCTTGATGTAGGTGAACTACATAGGAATTCTGTGTGCCAAGACTGGTTCAATTCAGTCTTTGCTGGAGTTCAGAATGCTCTTTGATTGTATGTGAACTATAAATCTCAGCAACTACAACTCCCAAATGACAGCATCAATCTCCCCTTCAACCCCACTAGAATTCAAATTTGGGTGTATCGGGCATTTGTGCCGAATTTGGTCCAGTGAATGAAAATACATCCTGCATATCAGATACTTAACGTGATGATTCGTAACAGCAGCAAAATTACAGTTGTGAAGTAGCAACAAAAATAATGTTATGATTGGGGTCACCACAACATGAGAAAACTGTATTAAGGGGTCGCGGCATTAGGGAGGATGAGAACCACTGAGTTAGCTGCTTCCCAAGTCACAGGGAACAGATCCTTTTTGATCTGGATTACTTTATAAGACTTCAGATTCCCAATGGGAACGCTCCTCCATTCAAAATCTTTCTGTCTTTAGCGATGCCATTGCTCAACATTGCTCCTGTTTGCAAGGAATATGTATTTTTGTAAGGAGGGACATTCAACCATTCTGACTCCACCATTGCCCCTTCCAGTCTGAAAAGTGTAGCCCACACATTGCTTTACCACTTCAATGAGAATGTGGCCTAACAAAGGCAGATTAAATTGAATGTAGGGAAATGCTAAGGAAGAATGGGGAACTGAGAAAAGATATTCATTACTTTGACTGATCAGATGAAGGCTATTTTTATTTTATCACTGTGTTCAGGAAATCTTCCCCCACAAGTTCAGAGTGACTGACTATTTCCTCTCTCCCCTCTGCAACATAAAAGGGTCCTGCCTTATCACTGCCCTCATCTGTTGTGAGTATTACAAAGGCGTAGGAGTCACTCTCTGAAAAGCGGGATCTGGTTTATTAAGAAAGAAAAGCACAGCAGTTCAAAAGCTTTGCCTTGATATAAATCATCTAT